GTTATCTCTATTATGTTTTTGCAGTCAATCACAACAATGATTTGTCTGAAAAGTTATGACTTTTAGAAATTCTAGAAAGTATAGCATCTTGTCCTTGTATTTCCCTTACACTTCCTCTTATCATAATGTATCATAATATGTCGCATCTTTGGGACGAGAGGAGAGTAGCGAATAAACTGCTGCGTTTGGTCTCAATCGATAACGTTAAATATTAATGGATATTTAGCGTCGGAATACTCCACATTTTCTGTTACACTCGCTCATATAATACCAAAGTGTGCCTCTACATGCCAAATTTTATCATTTCTACATTGAAACTTCATTGTTATATCTGATATAGATTCTACTGAGGATTAAGAATCGTAAAAGTTGAATTTATACAATTTTAACAAAAGTATGAATATTTCATCGAGACAAAAATCCGCTTTCCGATAGTCAACACCGCGTCATATCTTCTCAAAATAATGCGAGCCAGACCGAAAATTTATTCGGAAATATTTGGACACGTATCAAACTATCGTGTATCGATCTTTCCTATTTCTGTGAAAACACAATTTCTGTCAATGACACGTACGATCTGACAGAGTTTAGCGAGAGATACTAATGGCGTAAACAATTTAACGCGCACTTCAAATCATATATCTAAAAACGTGTGAATCAAAGATTTCCCATGTCGGATCAAGTCGAATAAATGAAATTCCACTCAAATCGAACCGAATAATATCGTCGAAATATAACTTTTAATTAAAGTATAATTAATAACATAATCTACAGAAGCCAGTCGCTGGATATTAATATAAACAATTTTAAACTATAAGATAATATTTTTGAACGTGTGCTAACATACGAGCTGAATATTTGTCCGAACTTGCACACGAAAATACACACGAACATGTTCGAACATGTCCAAACAAGTTCAAACATACACACGAAAAAATATCATTCTATATCACTAAAAAGCAACTACTCCGTTTACTTTCTTTCTTTTAAACAATGATTATCTTCAATAAAAAATACTTTTTTAATAATAATCTTAAAATATATTCAACAGAGAAATTTTAGAAAAGTTCATTATCATGTCAAAAGAGAAGAATTCTTCTAACAAGAATATTATAAAATTCTATCGAAGAAAAAGTTGGTTTGACTTTATGTACTAAGCAAATTAAAAGAATAAATTTGATAATTTACCAAATATAAATACATAAAAAATACTCAAGTAATTATAATAATTTTGTAACAAAAAATCAAACATCATTTTTAAACAAACGTATAATAATTTCTGTTATAATTTTTATATGGTCCAAAATTAGTTGTGCCCTACATGATACTGTAATATTTTCTCTGTGTACGCAACATCTGTAAATCCCCATAATCGTCTCTCACCTGACTCGATTCGATTCGAATAGTTCGCTTATCTCTAACTATGTCCTCATACATCTCTTGAAATTAGACGGAAGTCAGTGTGATTGAAGAGAAACAGAGCGACACACATACACATGGCGCCATTGACGTTCAAATATTCCCTAGATCAAGAGTTACACGACTTTCGGCCTTACATGTAACGCTTGAGATTGAAAATCGCATAAGTAGCTCTAGTTATAATGGTTTTCTTTAACTGTAATGGTTTCAATCTTATTCGTATACGCATAAAGTCCAAAATCGTGTAACTCTCGATCTAGAGAATGTTCAGGAATCAATAACACAGTGTGTACACCAACTTCACAAATTCAATCCCTAGCATAGTGCCATATAAAATTTTCGGTCTCAGGCGCATCATATATAAAATATTCGTGCACCATGACTGTTGATTATTCCAGAAATTACCGATTTCTCGCATAATCAACAGTCATAGTGTACGAAAAATCTTATATGTGATGTGCTTGGCTGAAACAATTCTAGATGTCACTATGCTAAGAAATGAGACTATCTTTATGAGATTTGTTGTACGAATCGGCTATTTCAGGACCGTCAAGTATCTTTATTAGTTTAGTCTCGCGCTTAATGCAATCAGAGAGATCGCAAATCGCGATACGCGTTGAGCAAACATTACCACTGTGTTGCGAAAGCGATCGCTAAATCCACAGTTATGCAATTTCATCACACCTCAGTCATAATATACCACGTAACGAGCGATAATAGTCCGCAACAAACAGGATCATCGCCAGTTGTTTGCGGCGACAGGAGTGACAGGTACGCGCGTGGGTGCGCGTCAACGAAAGCCTTAAAATCATGCACTCCCATCCGCGGGCGCGTCGCGTTGCAGTTTCACGTCGCGCTCCTCGTATCCTCGTGTCACACACTTATGCCCCAGGATCAATAATTTTAAAGGCACGATGCCGATGCTACTTGGCGATTCCACCGTGACTTTTAGTCTGTCGATGCATCGACCGAGACGCGTCGACCAATCGGACGTTTAACCTGTGTTTTACAGTTCCCTCGAGCGATGACAGCAACGTCACGTATTCATGTCGAAGATGCACCGATGTATTTCTCTTTTTCTTTTTTTAAAATACCACGCAACAATAACATGACGATTTGTCATCTCCATTCTAAAGCGAGGATGATAAACGGTCAGACAGTCACAACTGTCTCTCGTGACTGTCGCTCGCATGCAACTTGACGTTTCTAAATTCTACGCGAATTGTCAGAGGACTAGTTTTAATCTTCACAATGACACTCATTTTATTGGACGTATATTATCAAAGAATTCACTTAAAATTTATTCAATCACTTATCGTAAATTGCAACCATTGTCCTTTTTTTGTTTACTTTTAACTTATGGTTTCCGTACATAATTTTGAAGAAGACTTGGAGAGTAAATTAAAACGAAATGTTCACGTGGGAAACCGGGAAATTTATACCCGCCAGAGGCAATTATATTACTGCTGTCAATTACTGTCAAGATGAGTCTTCGATGATTGTTTTGTATTTTACAGAGCTCGTGTTAATTTCTTTAATCTTCAATTCCACGAATTCCGGAAACTCGAGTGTTCGGTATCTTCGTTATTAACCCTGACAGAAATACCAAGCGCCTTTCATATGTACTGATGCAATTTTCCTTGCTCCTTTTTTCCCTCAAAACTCTCTTAAAATTATGCATAAAAACTAGGTTAAAAGTGAAGCAGAAAAAGAAAACAGCGATTACAATTTATTAACTTAGTTGATTTAATTAATTTTAAGTCAATCTTTGGATAATATACGTTTGTAAATGCATGGTCTATTCAAACACGTAAAGTATAAGAATGTATAGAGAAACAAAAAGTTTGGTTTATTAAATTAACATAACAATGAGCGTTTTGAAGCCAAACGCGTTTTGGTTGAACACGGAAAAAACACTAAGAATATTACTTGTCTATATATAGTTATCATAACAAAATATTAATGTTATTTTTTGCTTATGAATACAAGATGGTTGTAATAACTATATTATTTTGTAAGTGACACACTAGCCCTCTTTACTGCCTATCCATATGAGTTTAAACAGTACTCTCAATGCAACTAAACTCGATGGATCCCTCAACTATAGTATTTGTTCTGCAAATCACAACAGAGAGATAGCAATATTCCTTTGGCTATGACAATTATGTACATGAAAATATACTAACATTATATATCATAAGAACAATTATGTACATGAAAATATACTAACATTATATATCATAAGAACTATGGCTGTGAGAACTGTATAGATGGACATGTCATAGCAGTAACGCTATTTTTAATACTATATCTCTTTAACTTGAAATCACATACATTTTCTTTCTAATCATAAAATATGTGAATGTAACAATCATAGTTTTTTCCGTAGAAGAAAGAATTTCTAGTTCTCAGAACCGAATTTAGTTTATATACTAGAAAAATCATTAGGAATATCACTAAACATGTCTGCTGCAACAAAATATTGATGTTATTTTTCGCCCATCCATAAAAAAGAGTTATGCACGGAATTGTACCACAATATTCTGGAAGTGTACACTAGCCTTCTTTGCTGCCTATTTATATATATGTGATCGGGAGGTCTCAATGCTGCATGACGCAACCAAATCCTACGGATCTCTTAACTACAGAATTGTGCAGAGCACACTAGAGAGACAGCAATATTTTTTCGATTGAAGCAGTTGTATATGAAGATACACTAATTGAACATTACGTATTATAAGCACTGTGTCTGCGAGAACTATATAAATAGACATACAACAATAGCAATATTCAACTTGAGTTTACATAAATTTTTTTTCCAACTCGGAAAAATGAGAATGTTGGTTATAACAAACAGTTTCCTCCTTAAGACTCAAAAATTCAGTTTTCTTCAACCACAACTTTGGCTCGTTCATTGTCTCGATGATTCAACCAAATTTATTTCTCGTGTCTATTATTGTCAGATCTAAAAGATATCACTTTAGCTTGCCAACTATCAATGACATCACGGGCAATTCTAATAAGACGACAGTGTGGTGAGACAAGGCTACTGCAAACAACACCGTCTCTTCTTGCCCGAGTCATCAATTTTACTCTCTCATCATTACAACGAATAAATATGGCGATCACATAAATTACATCGCGTAGCATTCTCATATCCATCACGCGATATCCATTCCGGATATCCCATTGAGTTTTCTTTGAACCTCTTTATATCTCTGACAGTCTCCAGTTCGCGAAATTATCCAGATCAACGATTACTTCTCACCGGCCACGCGTTCGAACCCCCTCGACGCGCTGCGTTATCTGACAACCTACATTACCGCCCTGCACGTTTTGCCAAGTCCACTTCGCGACGATATACGAGGCGCGATAAATTATCGTTCCGCCCACGTCTCCGAGGGATACCTCGAGTCGACCTCGATCTTCGCATTAATTCAGCCGACTTCCCGTACGAAGCAACCCTCTATTTCGATCCACATTCTTGTGACTCTCTTTCTCCTTCGTCGCGGAGTAAACGTCAGCGTCGTGGTCCTTATCGCACAAATCGTGTCACCTGTTCTCGACTCAGCGGTACTCACGTGTAGTTGGAGAGCGGCGCCTTCAGGTGCTGGGGCAGCCGCTCGAAGTAGTGGCGGAACTCCTCGAACTCGCTGTCGGCCATCGCCGCGTCGTCCACGGGGCGAACAGGCAGGTAGCAGGGCGCACAGGGCAGGGGTCGGTCCCGAGGGCGGCCGTGGCGGCCTGGTGGAGAGCTGCTCGTCAACCCCCAGGAAACGTACGGGGTGCAGAGATGTCGCTGATGTCGTCGGCGATGTCGCACGACGACCGCGCTTGCTTCGACGTCGTCGCGCGAGCTAGCCGCGGCAACCCCTATTGATCCCTGCGTGGCGAACGTCGCGCGCCTGCTCGTCCGCGAGGGTGGACGACGCAGGGGGTGGCTCTCGCCACGCCGGGCGAGAGGGTGAGGAAGGGAAGGTGCGACGGGGAGGGCGAACAGAGGCAGAAAGAAAAAGAAAACTTATGCTCTAGGGTGAATGTTTGCCTGCGTATTCTCGGCTCGCATCTAGCGCTAAATGCAGCGGCCGCGATAACATCGGCATTCGCGATAGACCAATAAAAGTCGCGCACGAAAAGAAAGATTTGATTGAATTAACCAAATATCTGGTCGAATATGAGCGATTCAGAAATTCCGATTGAAGTAACCCGAATTCTGTTTAAGTCAATCAAATCTTGTCAACTTAAACAAAATTCGAATTACTTCAATCGGAATTTCTGGATTGTTCATATTCGACCAGATATTTGGTTAATTCAACCAAACCTTTTTTCTGTACGGAGTGCAACAATGGGCTGTGCATGTCGTTGAATAATCTGTATGAACGCGATGTTATTAGGCAGTATTTCGTATGCCCGCGGCGAGATATGGTTCTCGGCCGGCGTGTTTAAACTGGGCTAACGTAATCACCGCGACGCGGGTAAATTAATTAGTTAAGTCGGTAGTGGGGAGACAAGATCCTATTTTTGAGACAGGGGTTTTGTTATGAAGTAATGCAATTTTGGTGACGTAAATATCCCCGGTTTTCGCACTGTTCAGCGTATACTTTCTGGAGATATCAGAGTTTTTTCTTTTTTAATATGAGTCGTACTCTTTAATATTCTCAGATAATGAAATCTCGCTCAAAACGAGTCGAGCAAACATTTACTTGCAGCAACAATGAATGCACTGCTATTTGGATTTGTAAGAGTGAATGTTTTTCTTAAGCTTAGAGTCTTATTCTAGAAGAATGAATGTTCCGATCGATCAAGTGAATTTGTTCTTGTGACTATGCAATGCATGAGATCTATTCTTCAATTTCAAGTTAAAAGATCAAGATAAGAACATGTTTATATTATATTGCACTTACATTGTTGAATAGAAAATTATAACATTGATGTTATGTTACTGATGATTGATATGAACTGAAATGATATGAACATGACTCATGTTATTGAGATAAAGAATGAAAAATAAATATGTAAAATACTGCCACTTGGATTGTAAGAGTGAATGTTTCACTCAAACTTAGAGAAGACTTTAACTCCATACGAGTGAATATTGCAATCGATTGGCATGGATTCGTTCTTGTAGCTGTTCTTATAACTAATCAGATTCACTATTCAATTTCGAATAAAAAGATTCACTGAACGATTTAGAGTGGGGAACTTAATAGAATTCTTTACTCTATAGGATTGCAAAATCACTCGAACTCGAGTGACTGTCACTCTACTTTTTGAGTAGTTTGAAATTTCACCACAAGAAATCTAAAGAGTATGTAAATGCTAAAAAATTTTGCACGTTCTGGGCTATATTCTCTCACTAGATGAGAGAATATTGTCCAGAAAAAAGTTTCCGACCGACATTCGCAGATCTAACGCGTTTCTGGTCGATATATACCGCGCAATGAAACATTTATCAACGGCACGCATAAACTCTCGTGAGTTTACAGTAGTATCTTCCGGAGTGGCTTGGAATTCGCGGCGGAGAACGGCACAGAGCAACCACGATATAAAATTCCGGTGAGACGGTTAAATATTTTACAGGCGACCTACGATCGATCTTTCGCATTCGTACAAACGTGTCACAAACAATAAAGATTTATCTCATCCCTCGTTAACTCTCAGAAGAGTTTAGTTATCTCGTCGGCTATATAACTAAATAACTCTGGTCGGATTATATTTCATAAAATAATCAATTTATTTAAGAAGACACATCGCACACGTCATTGTCTTAGATTCGTATTAATAATCAATATTATTCGTAAGGACGCACACGATAATCAAATAAAATTATAAAATGTATGAATACCTAAATAAATTGTATGTACTAAGAAAAACCATTTTGCATTTGAAAATCATTTAAAATACATATTTACCAAATTTATATTTAAAATGGATTCGAAAAACTCATTTTACATTTTGTATTTTAAATTATTACAATTATTACAATTATTACATTGTATTACAATTATTACATTGTATTACAATTATTACATTGTATTACAATTATTAAAGTATTTTACATTTAGCATTTTAAATGTAATTTAAAAAACATTTTACCCAGCTCTGCTACGACGTTGTCTCAGATTAGTATTAATAATCATTATTTAAACATTATTTGAAAAATGCAATGAAAACGTAAGTTTGCATAAAAATTTGTAACTTTTCTGAAAATGAATTTAAGAAATTATCATTCTAGGATTTTCTTAACAATACTTGAAGTTTTAAGAAAAAACAAATAATACATATTTCAATTTGTTAAAAATTATAATTATTTGGATATACGGAAATACATCATTTTTTCAGTTAAAAAGTGAGTAAAGTCAATAATAATTTCAAATTTTTACGCTAAATAATAATTTATTATATAATACGAGTTTTATTAAAATTATCAGATATTATCTATCAGATATTATCTATATCTTTTTTCATCTGTCATTAAAATTATCAGATATTATCTATCAGATATTATCTATATCTTTTTTCATCTGTCATTAAAATTATCAGATATTATCTATCAGATATTATCTATCAGATATTATCTATATCTTTTTTCATCTGTCATTAAAATTATCAGATATTATCTATCAGATATTATCTATCAGATATTATCTATATCTTTTTTCATCTGTCATTAAAATTTAATAATACAAAAAGTTAATTCACATATAGCTAAAAATAAATACTACTTAGATAAAACTTTTCTTATATGTTATATTTAATGAGGATCCGAAATATAACGAAAAATTTTTATTTTACACTTTGACATTTTAATCTGACATATTGAAGTCAAAAACGACCCTACAGCAGATTTGCTTTTTTATTGTGTGACAGGCAATTGACATGGCTCAGCAATGTTTAAACTTTATATTTCCATCAACTAGACTGTTTTGTGCATCAACTATAACTGGCACGTGTTTTGTGATTCTCTATCGCATATTGAGGATTTTACAATATGTATCATCTTTTATTTTGTCATCAACACAATTTCATGGCGCTATATATATGTGTGTGTGTATTTATGTGTGCATGTATGTATATGTGTATGTATTGATAAGAATATCCTAGAATGTTAATTTTTCAAATTCGTATGTGTATATATATATATATATATATATATATATATATATATATATATATATATATATATATATATATATATATAGAGCAGGGCTGGGTAAAATGCTTTTCAAGTTGTATTTAAAATGCTAAATGTAAAATACTTTAACAATTGTATTTAAAATACAAAATGTAAAATGGGTTTTTCGAATCCATTTTAAATATAAATTTGGTAAATACGTATATTAAATGGTTTTCAAATGCAAAATGGTTTTCTTAGTATATACAATTTATTCGGATATTCATACATTTTATAATCTTATTTGATTAGCACGCTGTTTAATTTGAGTAATAATTGTTTTTCAAATATATCATCGCATGTTTCGACGATTGGGGTTCAGAATCATACCTGCATAATAATCGTTCTACTGGCGTAGACAACGGAGAGAGAAGCAAAGTATTATATTTTATAAAAATTTCTTGAATTATAAGAAATGCATTAAACGAGTCCAAATGTATTCTCATTTTGCAAATACTGCAAGCATTGCAGTTTAATCGTATTTTTAATAGAGGTATTTGCAACACTTTCATCCGAAGATGACCACCTTCAAAAGCAAGAAAGCTTTCACTGCGTATTGCTTCTGATACATTCGTCGAATCATTTCGAGTTTTTGACACACTGGTTAGTAAAGATTCAACTTCATTAGCAATTCCTTGACATCATTCTTTCTTTTACCCATCATAACTTAAAGAACCCATCATAACTTAAAGGATAGCTAAAATAGCATCGTTTATTCGATAAGAAAAATCAAAGTAATCTTTGAATCTTTTATTTAAGTCTTCCAGCAGCACGACTAAAATAGAAAATGCAAAATGCCATTTCCATTTTAAATACATATTTAAAATGGAACTATTTCAAATATTACCCAGCCCTGTATATACATATACAAGATGTCTCCCAGACTCTCCTCCTTAACACTTTTTGTATGAACGTAGAACAGATTGAAGTGAACATAAAAGTCTCAAAGCGTTTTGCGATATTTCTATGAAATTGAACAATGTGAGTGTCGATTATTTCAAATGACTTTCTCGAATAGCTTTACTTCAGAACAAAAAATTTTAAAGTATAAAATGCGAAATGAAGTTATAAGTTAAAACTAATAAACGACGTGACCAATGAACACAGTCAACGATTAATGAGACACCGAGCTATATTACGCAAAAATCAGCCCGCTAAAACGGGAAAATTTTGAATGAATAAAAATTTAAATTTAAAAAAATTTAAATGTAAAATTTAAATATAATATATAATATAATATATAATATAAAAAAATATAAAAAAATATAAAAAATAGTAAAATAATAAAATATAAAAAATAGTAAAATATAAAAAATGTAAATATAAAATTTATAATATAATAAAATATAAAAAAATTTTAATATAAAATTTAAATATAAAATGTAATATAAAATTTTTTATCTCATAGTTTACATATGCAATTATTTTTTTCTCCATTTTACTAGTCTCTTTTCTGCAACGTCTCTTTATTCGTTCCTTTCCGGTCTCATTACAATTTTAATTTAGCGTTTTAACGTTTTCCCCGTCATAATCTCGTAAAGCAAACTTCATGATAGTAACGCGACTGATTTTACCGGACACCGTAACAATGTTCCGGCAGTCATAAGTGCGTATGGGCACTCGGCCAAAATCGAGTTATGCCGCAATTGACCTCACCG